TATAAGCCACACGCCGGTGAGTTAGTAGTTGGGTGGGTGACCACCAGCGAATCCTCACTGTTGTATGTTTTTGTTTCGCCTTCTCGCATTTTACTTCACGTGGTTCCAAAAACCAAGGTCTAACATACCTAATCTGGATCCGAAGACATGCATACTGATGAAGGGGGTTTTGCTGATGTGGTCTGAGTCTACAATGATATGGGTTGGCGGCCGAAAAAGAATTTGCAAAGCGCAGAGACATTGAGATCTCAATTCTGACAAGGCGCAGATGTGATATGCTATGGCCCGCGAAATGACGATAGGAGCCAGAGGGACACATCAAGTTTCATTACTCCGTACAGAGAACACTCCATTCGCCCCTTTGGGGATACAAAACCATGTAGATTGGGACTAAGGAGGTGTCTGGAGGAGCTATAGGTCTTACTGATCTGAAATACGAGACGCTACTGCAGAAGGTAGCTTGGCACCAAATCATTTATCTGTTCGTTCTAAGAATTTTCTTCATATGAACGATCTGACGAATTCCTAACCACTCACTGTCACATTATATGTGTGTAGGCTTTTAGACTAATATACGGATTAACAGAGGGCTGACTTTCTGCCAGTCAAAAATCTGATGTGTCCTTCTGGTCCCTATCGTAATACCTCGATCTTCAAAGAGGTACATATAGACCAGGGTCTCGCCTGGTTGCACTTCGGTGGGGCCAGAGTGCTCTCGGATTACCTTTCTCTCATGCAGGGGTCAGCATAACGCTAGTCTGCGTTGAAATTGACACATGCATATGTCTCTGAAACAGGATGATAGAATACGAAGTAGCTCTTTCTCTCAGAACGGAGACCAGAGAACACGAATAGAACAGGTGAGACCCAAGGCATTTGAGCCGCCAAAGCGCTGTTTGGTGCATATACTATACTACTCCGTACAAAAAGATACTCGACCTAAACAGGGCCATCTGCGCGATCACAATACAAACGGTGGTCTGGCTTCTTCACAGATCGGCGCCTCCGCCCAAGCTATGGCCCCCGAGGTTTTAGCTCCGTTGGTTCTCGCCTACTTTGTAGGCATCTCCCGAGGTCTTTCATTTAGAATTCGATTCTTTAACCTTATATCATATCACATGGTTCTATATTATACCCATAGTAATTGATGCAAACACTTTAAAAATTTTCTTTAATTCTCCTTCCCTTCCTACGTTTATCTGTTGTCCGACTCTCAGATTTAGTGCTCTACATCCGACTATATATATATATAATGACCAGTGGAACACGAGGCGTCCGTGCCCTGGTGCCTATCTCACGAGTTGTGATTGGGTCTTGTATATCAAGCTAACTGGCTTTGCTCCAGTCAAGACCCTGGCAATTACCTTGGTAATACCCCTAGTCTATTCGGTCTTTTAGCCTCCAGATGTCGTTCATGTGGCTACCTAGGTACTTCTGGCACAACTTCGTCATGACAAGCCACTTCATCCAATGACAAAGAGCCTGCATGCCGCATCCTGTATTAAGCGATATTACTCGCAACTATGATTACTGATCCACTAGCTTATCGCAGGTCCTTCCCTCGTCCCCCTTCAAAAGCGGCTGATGCTTGTTCTTTGTCAAGCTTTTCGATCTTTTCAGCGTCTTCATTCCAATAATCACCCTTTTACAGCTGACAAGATGTTGACGTTCAGCCATATGAATGCAGACGCATTCGAGAACCCTAAGAAAAACAATGGTCGAAAAAGACCCCGGTTTCGGGAGCCCGTCGCATGTAACCATTGTCGAAAATCCAAAGTGCGCTGCGATCGCAAGTCACCATGCAAACCGTGCCAAGATCGTGGAATGGGCACACAGTGCGCTTACTCCCGCTCCAAAAGCCACACAGTCTCGGAATCTGCCACACCACTAGCATCCCCTCGAAGCACAGAGATCCACGTACTCTCGTTGCAACAGCCGTCACCCCGCTCCTCCGATAACGAGATCCACGATCCACGATCGGTCCTGCCCCACAACCAGTCCACCGTCAGTCATGCCAATAGTGCCTTTAAGGGGTCGGACTTCAAAACAAGGCTGATTGGCGGCACCCATTGGATTGCCGTGTGCAACGATTTGCCCGTCATAGGGGCGATGCTGGAGAAGACCGTTGATTTTCAACCGACGTGGATAATTTTCGCGAAAGTCAAGTCTCTTCTTCGCGTCGCAAATTCGGTACCAGCCGGAGAGAATGGAGACAGTAAGAAGCTACTGAATCTTCTTCCCGATCGATTGACCTGCGAAAAGTGGATCAGGCGATTTTGTGAAACATATGGTAGAATCTACCATGTGATCGACCAGAACTGCCTGATCACCGAGCTGGAGGAAATATTGGTCGCATCCGTCGACACCAATGAAGTGCACGTTCTCAAGATTCTGTTGGTCATTGCGATTGCCATGCAGACCGACAAGTCAGAGCGACTACGCGGGCGTCTAATACTGCAAGAATCGGAGAGCCGCATTCATGCATCGACACAGTTCCAAAAGCCTTGTATAGGTGTCGTGCAGGCTTTATTGTTGTTGATCATCATGAAGACTATCACGGCCTCTGACACTGATAATATTTATAGCCTCATGGGTATCATGGGGCTGACCACGCAAATGGCTCTGAGCATGGGATTGCATAGGGATCCGGCTTTGTTCCCCGGTGTCACTCCATACTATGCAGAAGTTCGGAAACGATTATGGGCGTGCTTCTTTCGATTGAACCTCGACTATTGCATCCGGAGTGGATCCCACTTTGGTATTCGATTGGAAGATGTGGACTGTCCTCTCCCGAGCCCTATCGACCTTCTGACCCTTGAGCCGAGAACCATAACGGAGTCAGCTACCTTATTGGACCAGGCCCAGGAAGCAACGGATCAGGCTTTCAATATCGCTGCAATGAAGCTTGCTATAGTGAGAGCTCCATTACATCAGCGACTTTGCTCTACAGCTCCTCAATTATCAAGCGAGGTACGCGATCGAATGCGCGCCTCCTTGCACAAGATCCTGCGAAAGTTGCCTCCGAATCTGCAAGAGGGAGCTTCGTCATGCAGTCCAATCGAAAAGCTTCAGCAAGCCTTGTTATCAGTGCATGTTCATAGCTTCATGATTATCATCACACTCAATTTTGTCGTAGGAGTTCCGTCTCATAATTCACAGCGGGGCGATCTCTATGAAGCATGGGACAATTCAGTGTCAATTCTCTATCAGTTGCAGGAAGTGTTACAGAGCGGCTCTGAGCTGTCTAGCGTGGCTTACCATCTACTTTGGACCGACCTTGCCCGCGCAGCATTGACCGCATGTTTGGTGGTTGGTCGCCTGCGGAGCATCAATCTGGGGACAACCGTCTCCAATGGCCCCCCGCCCACGCTGGTCGTGTTTCAACAGCTTTTGCTGAAATCTCTAGATTCTTTATCACAGATTTTAGCGGGAAGATACCGTCTCGGACCTGTTGCAGCGAAGACCAGACTTGTCCTTGCTGTCGCGACAAATATCACATCAAGCCTGATCGGCGACTTTGGCGGCTCACAACAGGATTCCAAGTTCTTCCAGGTCGGCATCACAGCTGCCGAAGAGGTCGTAACCGAGATGGAGCGTTCTCTGAAACGGGAAAACCAAGACTCGACACTCGCCTTGCCGGGATCCAATACCGCAAGGACGTCTCCACCAAGTGCCCCTGCCCCAACACCTCTTGCGACGAACTGGATAGACCATGCACAACTTCCAGATCCCTTAATTCAGATGTTGTTTCCAACCGACTGCGACTTCTACCCCTCAGAATCTCCGGGGCTGGGGATGCAGTCCGATCTATGTCTGCCATATTCCATGGCGCCATTCGAATCTACTTCGACGATTCAGTCCACGCCTAATCTCTTGTGGGAAGACGTATAAATTCGAATCCCCTGGCACATAATTTTCTTTGCCTGCACATAGACAAATATAGAATAGATAGTAGGCGCCACCGCCTTTTTTTCTCTTTTTCTCTTTCTTTTCTCTTTTGTTCCCCCCCCCCCCCCCCCCCCC